GGGGGGGTTGGTGTCACTAATGGGAAACCCCAAAATGGCCAATATTTAACATATTTGATGTTCTCCATTATTATTATCTCTGCTAGGTGTAAAACATTGCTTATACTCACGCAAGCTCCGAGCACGTAGAAAGGTGTTAATGAGCGACGCTCTGTTCATTCTCCAAAAACGCCATCGTGATATAAACTAAATATTCTGCGAAGAAGCAAGAAATGAACGCGTGTTATGTTCCTAATGAGGAGGAATTGTAACTGTAATAATATTTCATTTGATCAGACTACTTTATCGCCCTTTATACAAGCCCCGTAAATAAATAATTTAATGTATCGTAAAGAAAGTAAAGTTGAATATCCTGTAAACAATTTGACCTGGCTGGTTTCTAAAGCATCTAAAAGTGAATTGGCGGTCGTCTGAAAAGCTGCAGAGCTGCACACAGGGAGCAGCTAGTTACACAAACTCAGAAATGCACGACCAAGCGAGCAGAATTCTGCGCGATTATGTATTTTAAATGTATTTTCTGACAATCCGCTCCGCTAATTCAAGGCTTAGTCTGTTGCACGCCACACCGGAGCATCTGCACATTTATTGCTTATCCGAAAATAAATTCACGCTTTTGTAATCTTTTGCCGCCATCGTTACATCCACAGGCTTGAGGCCGGTGATTGGCAGAAAGGAAAGGAGGCGGGAGATTTGTAATAAAACACGTCATGAAATAAAATACTTATTTTATGAGTCGGTTATAAAATAAGAGCGATGCACTGTGAATCTCCATGTTGGAGATTCACACGCAAACGGTCTAAACGACGACTGTTCGAGCAGTTACAGTGCTGTTAAAGTACAATCATCTGATGAAGGAGGTTCTAGTTTCTAGTCATTTTTTGCCTCATGAGAGCTTTGTGAAGCCACGTTCTTTAAACCCTTCGTGACACGTGTCCCGTCTCTACGTCATGTGTAGCGCTGCCTCTTCCCGTCTGTGACGTCGCGTACAAACACCTCTGAATATACTTTGATGTCGGGAGAAGCAGAGCTCCCTGCTGCAAACACTACTCCACCTTCTCTTCGGTCAAACCTCTGTGTTACACTTCGCTCACATCGGGACGGCCCCGCTATGCACCCGGTCCCGACTCTGCTGCTCTTGGAGAGGGTCCTGATATAACCAGTATTTACTGTCATGCTGTACTATTACAACCGTATGCAACCACCAGTGGCATGTTCATAAACTCTGTTTAGAGCTGGGAAACACGGCAGGGGGCCTAAATACAGACAGACTTTAACGTGTTGTACAAAGTGAGTATTTCAACAGCAACGCTGCACTCTGCTTATCTGTGGTGAGGTTCTTATGATCAGTGTGACCTTAAATACCCCAGTGTGTGTGTTGCGTGTGTGTGTGTGTACACTGGTTATGGAGAAAGAGGAGGTGTGTAAGAGTGTGTTTATGTGACGCTGTGTTTTAACGGTCTCTGTCTGATTTGGGGTTGGGATTATTCTTGTTATGCACTGCATGATGTTGCTGTTATGATTTGCACTTTAATGAGTATTTATTGAAAAAAACAATAAACAGACATTTAAGTTAAAAGGATAAAATGTCTCAAAGGCTTTGTCAAAGTTACTACACACACACACACACACACACACAATATTTTTTGCATGGAAGCGACCTCAGGTGATCATCACACTACTCTCTGTCTGGAACACTTTTTATTCATCAGCTTGAGGGAAAAGTCGTAGAAGAAAAAGGCGGCACATAAAACTGACGGATAAAACGCTGCATAAAAATTAAAGAAAGAAAATAAAGGTTTATGGATGACGCTTCCCTCCAGACGGGACAACTTATACCAACATGTGGCAACTTGTACTAGCAGAATTCATAAATGTTATATTTCGTATTACGCTCCATGTTGTTGTTTATTGCTACGCCATTAAAGATCATTATGATAATAATATGTTAAAAGCTCAATATATACATAATATGAAGCGAGTTGATACAGAAGCACTTCCATGAAGTCTAACGATCTTTAACACAATAATGGAGGTAAATAAAAGTACAAAAAATAAAACAGAATAATCAATAATACAAACACGGAAGAAAAACGGACTAAATGTTGAAGGTGGTCAAACAATGTTTATCAGAGTCCTATAGATGCATGAGTATGAAGTATTGTAGGTTAGAGCTCTATTAAAGGGCCAGTGTGTAGGATCTATCAGCAGAAATGTAATATAATATTCATAACTGTGTTTTTATTCATGTATCATCACCTAAAACTAAGAATTGTTTTATTTGCTGTTAGCTCAGAATGAGCCCTTCATATCTACATAGAGAACGGGCCATGTTTCTACGGTAGCCCAGAACGGACAAACCAAACACTGGCTCCAGAGAGAAACGTTCATGTTTTTACATTAGACTGTATGTAAGAAGTGGAAGTAGTCACTGTGATGTCACACTTTGGTTTGTGGACTACGGTTTTGAAGCCTCAAGTTTGGCCTTTTGCTGTCGCCATCTTGCTTTTTTACAACTAGAAGTGACACGAGCTGAGCACAACTAAACGCTGAAGAAGACATTTTTTGGAGACCAATTAACTTTCATTAACTTAAAACACGCTGTGAACAGATTAAAGTTCTAAGACAACAACACGGACAACTCACAGATCGGGCAACGCCGCAAAAGAGACTTGAAACTAGAGATCAAGACCATAAACTCATGTTTACAATGTTTACTGAGGTAATAAATCAAGAGAGAAGTAGAGTCATTTTCTCATAGACTTCTATTAAATCAGAGGAGTCGCCCCCTGGTGGACATTAGAGAGAATACAGCTTTTAAGACACGTCAGCATTGACTTCACTTTTCAGAAACAGAGGTTGCCGCCTGGTTTTTACGTTACCTAAAGGTCACAGTAGTTCTCCAAAATACTTGGAAAGGGTGAGGTGGACGGGTGTTCAGTTGGTTACAATCTACAACCTCACCACTAGATGTCACTAAATCCTACACACTGCTCCTTTAAGTCTTTGTTCATCAGCTACGTATATTGCCATTTACTCTTTTGCCACCAACACTGTAAACTGGTAACAAGTGTTTAGGACAAAAACTGTTCCTGAAGAACAACCTGACAGAAGAAAGACTTGATCTTTAGAGAAAAACATGGATGAAAATGATAAGTAAACAATCCTCCCTGTTTTGTACTGCCTGTGTTGTGTTGTGTATTTCCTCAGGATGGTGTCTCAACCTGAGAAATACCCTGGTCTGATGGAAAATTTTCATTTCACATTCACCACTTTATTTCTACCACTTTAAATATATGTCTGGTATTTTTACATTTTTTTTTTTTTTACATTACAGTCATTTTAGCAGACGCTTTTATCCAAAGCGACTTACAATTCAGAGTCTATCACATTTCTACACCTTAGGCACAGCTACGAGAGCAATTTTTTTGGGGTTAAGTGTCTTGCTCAAGGACACATCGACATGCGACTAGCGGAGCCGGGGTTCGAACCGCCGACCCTCTGATTGAAAGAGGGCCCTGCTATCCACTTAGCCACAATCGCCCCACATTTTCATATGAAGTGTGTAATTGTCTGTAACAGTTTGTACGTCCTTTCCTTGGATCAGCAGCTCCCGTTGGTTTAAGGTTCAAGGTCACTCAGAGCCACCAGGAAAACCGTCCCTCTCTGCTGCTTCAGAAAATAAAATAAAGAGTTCAAGCGGCTGAAATTGGCATCGCTCGTGGGGGAAACCGCCTCGTCTTGCTCCTGTTCTTCCTCGTGTTATTGATGAAGTTACTGTCACAGTATGAGGTCTTCACAGTGTGAAGAACAACAACATAGACAAGTCCTGTTTCCTCTGCCTGGTGGCTTTTTGTCCGGCTGTTACAAACAGAAAAATAACATCATGTCAGTGTGTTTTTTTGTTTGTTATTGTTTTCAATGAGAGTGAAGTGTTTTCTGCCCTGAAAATAAGCAGTGAAAAAATATTGTCCTGAACGAAATAAAAACAATATCCTTTATGATGAACTGAACTGAAACTATATTACCTGGTTAAACGACATTATACCTGGCTCTCATAAACAAACTAAATGAATATGAAACTACACTAAAACCTGCAAACACCTTCTGAAAACTAACTAAAACTAAACTGGAATCAAAAAGTCAGAAATAAAATCAAATACGAGCTAATTGAAAACTCAAAATCAAACAATGGTGATGTAGTTAAGAAAGAGTCCAGGTGGTTCCTTCTTACCTTCAGGATAATTACTCAAAGGTTAAGTCGGCATACAGGTCAGGAGGGGGAAAAATAATCATATCAGTGACATCGAAATCCATTTCCTGTGTTGAACCAGCTTGAGGCCTGTGGAAAAAAACCCCACATTGTTAAAATAACTTCATCTTTCTTTGTTGGTTGCAAAGGAGGGTGACCTCATTGTGAGCAGGAACACGACACGGTTGATAAATGTGAAAATTAATCAAACGTTCTATCAGGACAAAAGCCAACTGAACTTCCGTCTCACAAAAATAATAAAACACTCGCTTCTCTTCATGCTCAGCAACCTGTTCCAGGCTGTTTACCTGTGTGTGTGTGTGTGTGTGTGTGTGTGTGTGTGTGTGTGTGTGTGTTTTATAACCCTACTCACAAGGAAACTTCTTCCTCCGTTACGAGCACGGGACCTGAGATGTAAACAGAGTATTTGAGCATTTAACTTTTTTTTAAATTCATTCATCACATGTTGTATAAAGGAGATGGATGATAAATAGATTTTCAGTGATTGAACTAATCCTTTAAATTATTCACAGTCAACTTTAAAGAAATGGAATTATCATGATTCACAACATTATATTGTATTTATATTATATAACAAATATTGTGTGTTTCAATACAAGATTTCTATAATTTGTTTCTGTATTTTACAATCAGAGATTTTCTCAGGTGTTGCTTACTTGTCTCTGGTTCAGTGTCTCTGTAAAAAAAGAAGGAACAGCGAACATTAAAACCTCATTAGTGCATGTGTGTGTGTGTGTGTGCGCGCGTGCGTGTGTGTGTGTGTTTTATAACCCTACTCACAGGGGAACTTCTTCCACATCCAAGAGTACAGGACCTGAGATGTAAACAGAGTATTTTAGCATTCAGTTTTAAAAATGAATTCATCAAACACGTCACATGTTTTATAAATGGATATGGATGATAAATAGATGTTTCAGTGATTGAACTAATACGTTTAAGTCTTTACAATTAACTTGGAATGATCAAATATTGTGTGTTTCAATACTTCTATAAAGTTATTCTGCATTTTATGATAGGGGATTTTCTCAGGTGTCGCTTACTTGTCTCTGGTTTAGTGCCGCTGTAAAAAAAGAAGGAAAAGCACACATTAAAACCGCATTCATGTGTGTGCGTGTGTGTGTGTGTGTGTGTGTGTGTGCAGCAGGTGCACAGGGGTGTACATCATGCCTACCTGGCAGCTGGCTTCTCAGGTTCTGGTGAGTGAAAAAATGTGGCCAACTTCTGAAGGGCTTCATGTCTTGCTCTGTTAAAAAGACAAATACAAATGTAGTGTATATCCACACTTGTATATATATGTGTATGTGTGTGTGTGTGTGTGTGTGTGTGTGTGTGTGTGTGTGTGTGTGTGAACTCACTGGACATTAGTGCCGTCTGCGCTGATGTCACTTTGACTGTGAACGTGGTTTACGCTCAGGTCTTTGTTTCCTGAGACAGTGAACAAACAGTACCGATAAATAAAACACACTTTCACTTTCACATAATCGTCGTTACTGAAGCCTCAAAACCGCCATCGCACACTTTAACAGATAACATCTTCCTGTTTACACAAAATAACCTGCTCATCGGGTGAGGACGTGAGTCGGCATCTAAAGTATGCAAACAGCAGTGAGAGCTCAGTAATTCTGTAAATGAAGTTTAGAACTGTGCAGGAATTCCATTTACGTTTGTTTTAACTGTATTGAGATTAGTCGGTGAGGCCTAGCGCCTAGCAACTTCATCGTCATCGCAACGCGCAGGTTTTGGTTGGTTAGTAACAGCACTAACGATGATGCACCTTGGATAAAAGGATAAAAGCCGTGCGGCTTTTCCACTTTTTTAGAAGCTGTGTGAACGGCCCATCGAATTTTTCACCCCCCCCCAAAAAAAAGGTGTCGACTCCCAGGTACAGAGTCAAAGATGGCCAAACTTTTCTAAAAGTGCCTTTGAAAGATGAAGACTGTAGATACATATTTGTAAAGGAGTACTGCACTCGTATAGAACAATCGTCAACTTATTTGACATCAACAAACAGAAATGTCTGTGGTGTTGTGTGTCTTTTGTATCTGCACACTTCCATCAAGATAAAACATGGAGGAGATACGACAGCACAAACCCAGTGTCGCACTATGTGCTATTTAACCACCTTATTGTGAAGCATCAACCGTACACTATCAGTACAATGGAGGTTCTTACCCATGTCTGGCATTGAGAGCATCCTGTTGTGTCCGCTGCAGAGGAAGAGACAGTGACGAGACAATAAGAAAAGATCCCCGGTGACTAATCAGAGATAACTGCTGGTGTCAGAAGGTAGCAGGAATCTAAACATTCAGGCTGACACGGACTTACATTGAAACCATTGGATAATCAGGTTCAGGGGCAGGAGAGAGAGGTTCTTCATCTTCACCGGTCCACTCCTCGCTGTCGTCTGTGACTGAACACGTCGACATCAACGTCAAACTGACGCAGAATAAAACATGTACTCTTATTATGAATAGGAACGGGAAGATACTCACAGCTTTCCGCTGATATTGGATAGTGGTTTGAGGCCCTGAGAAAAAGACACACAAATATAAATGACCCTTTCAACTTAAAGAGGAACTTTCATTTCATTACGCAGCAATACGGCCTGCAGGTCGAAGCCGAATCTGAGTCTGTCGCTGCTGGAGGCCCAGCTAGAGTCTGAGTCTTGTGTACTTATGTAGGGCGTACAGAGGCATCAGTATCAAACCGAGTCTGTTTCATAACCAGTTCCAAGTTGTACTACACAAGTTCCCCACTTCACACTCGTACCTGCTCCCCGTGCTCGTGACCTCCTCCTCGATGACGTTGTTGTTGCTGCTCCTGCGAGTGACCGTGGCCTTCCTTCCCAGATCCAGCATCTCCTTGATGTCCAGCTCCACATGATCCACCGCAATGTAGCCATCTGGGACACACTCACCAGAGTCAGTGCTGCGATCCACCATCACGGACTACAGCCCATCCAGTCACGTCTGACCCATGTGGCTCAGAGTTTATACAGTTGATTGTTTTGTAATATGTGAAAACACTACTAATAGACCTCTTGAGGTGTTTTAAACTCACAGTTGTTGCTGCTGTCCCTGGCCAGCCACTTCCCTTTGGGACAGTTGTTTGTCCGGATGATGCCGACGATGTCTCCGCTGTTGACGGGCAGATTGTTCTTGCGTCCCTTGTTGGTCACAGTTACTTTGGCCTGGTACATGGCAACCTCCTGTCCGGTGATCTAAAAGAAATAAATAACAGTGGCAGGTTAACGCCCCACACATTCACGTACGGACTCGTGCACAAGAAGCAGTGCTCACATATTCACTACTTGCTGTTGAGAGTGTGATGACTCAGGCCTTTTTCAGCCGTAGGTGTTTTTGACATGTCACAGCAGGACAAGCTCAGGTAATTAATTTAACATTAGTGATGTCAGCTTGACATTTAGGGACATTCTGGTATCTACAGGACTGTAACAAGCCATCCAACTATTTCACTCTGCTACCTGCCTGTCTATCTACCTGCACTCCTGAGTCTTCCACAAGCTGCCATCTTAACAGCTGTGAGTACTAACAATAACCATGCTCCTTGTTTATGTTCATAATGATCATTTGGGAGGATTGGCTTTGGAGAGAGGCCTGAAGGGATGGACTGTCAGTGTTGCAGGCTTGGCGACTATTAAAGCTTGATTCAGCAACTTTTGGAGCTATTGCTGCCAGCTTCTCTCATTTCAGAAGAGTTAGCAACACTGGGCGGGGTTCTTAAGATGAGATCATTATGTTAATCTTGCGTACTCTTGCTGGTTTCTCCAATGTTACCGACCCAAGCGTTAAAGGAAGTGAGCTCATCTTGATGATACTAATTCCACCTGTGCTTTTCTTGCTATGACAAAAAATATACTTATATCAATTTAGTATAGTGAACAGTTAGTGGACAGGGACTTGTTTTAGGGGATATTCATTAAAACATGAAAAAACAATGAGCAGGAAAGTTCCGGTCCATTGTAGCATTTATCTGTCCGGGCCGGACAGATAAACAAGTGAAAAGATAAAGGAAAGAGTAGGAAGATCATTCTCTTTGAGAAGCTTTCAGTCTTTGAACAGAACTGGATCCAGTAGAACGTCTTGTTCTTGTGTCGCAGGATAAAGAACCGTCCCCAACAATGGAACAATGTTTACACACATTCCTTTAGCGTCGGCACATGTTCAGCTCAGCTCAACACTTCCACGGGGAGGAATGAATCCCGACAGGTTTGTACGCCAAGAAGCCCCCCCCTCCCCTCCCCTCCCCCCGCTGCTCGCTCACCTTTCCGTCAAAATAACATCACTCACTTTGAATTTCTTCTTCATCTCGTTCTCCTTCTTCTCCCTCTCCTTCTGCTCTTTCTTCTCCCTCTCCTGTTTCTCCTTCAGCTCCTTCTTCTCCTTCTCCAGACGCTGCTTCTCTTTCTTTTTCAGCTCTTTCTCATCCGGCCCTTCTGCACCGGCGGCGGCTTTCTTGTCGTTCCTGCAGAGAAGAGAAGGAGGGGAGACAATGGTTCGTGTTTGCATGTTTAGAAACAACAGAGGGAGATTAGGAGGGAAACAAAGGCAGACCAAAACTCTCTCATCGCTGACGGTGTTTCCAGAGAACTGGGTCAAAAAAAACTCAGAAATGTAAATAAGAACTCACTTGCCGAACCTGCCCAGCTTGCTTTTCTCTTCATTCTGTAAACACCGACAAAGAGATCATTCATTTTACTCCACAGACATGCAAGGATGAGCAGAAATACTTATCTAAATATTATATCATCTGAAGACTCATTAAAGCTACTTACTGTTTCCTTTTGTGCCTCGGCGTATGGATCTGTGGTGAACACAGTTGTGTAAAAAACAAAAAAAGAATAAAAGGAATGTTTTAATAAAATCCTCATGACAGAATCACACAAGAACACATTCATCATTTGTGGCTATTGGTGACGCGTTCAGAACTTCTTTCATTTCAATTCATGGATGAATGCTAATAATATATATAAACGTCACACTTCATGCAGCCAAACGCGTGAACACAATGTCGATAAGTGACGTCTTATCGATGAGGTGTGACTGCTGTGATCGTATCTGCTGTTCAGAAGTGTGTCGACTGAGACGCCTCCTCACTCTTTGGCGTCCCTTTGCTTTTCTTGAGGCCGTCGCTCTTCCCTTTCTTTTTGGCTGCAGACGCGGGCATGGCCTCGCAGACGATCGCCGGGCTCTCATAGGCACCATTGCCGACATAGGCACCGTCATCTTCAAGCCTGGGGGAGTTTTGAAGGGAAGGAATCAAAAACCCAAGTTCTCAGATTTGAACGGAGTACTTTGGTACGAAGGTATCTCGTGTGTCTTACCCTGCCGGTGATGGAGATTCCTGAGAGATCTGGAAGGAGGATTCTGGTTCTTGATTATCTTGGTCACCAAACGCTGGTGCCGCATGCACCTTCGCTCTTGGAAAAGTCATCCTGTTACCGTAAATCTCTGGCAGGTTCTGTCCATCTGGAGTATCTGGACCCGTGTGCTCCCCATTCCCCCACTCTGAATCTGAGGCCACGTTGTCAAACTCTGGGAAGTCCGCGGTGTACTGGTTTGGTCTCGTCGCATGTATTTCTGAGAACTCTGGAGCAGCCGGGATCTCTGTGGACGGAAAACGATATTAACGGGCGGCCGGTTTATTTGTTTGGTTTTCACCAAGTTTGTACGCGTAACAATAGCGACCTCACCGTTGTCTAGCACAGGAGGAGGAGGGATGAGTTGACTCTGGTTGACAGAGAAAGGTCTGCTTGGCTTCTCTGGAGTCAGACCCAGAGACTTGATTGGAGGAGGAATCACCAACAGCTCCGGGATGTCGGGCCCCTCCGCGGTGATACCTTCCAACACTGGAGAGGCTTGCCCTGCAAACAATGACATCATCACACATGATTTCTTAATGTGTCACTACTTTTTCCAGATATTTTCTGTTATTAAAATGTAATACAGACATTGTAGCATTTGGACACAGTAAAAACAGAGAAACATCTGAAGGACGTTTGCAAACACAGAGTGGCCGAGCAAGCCGAGTGGAAGAATTTGATCTGCGAGGAGACCAAACCAGTCAAACACCAGTTGTTGTGATTTTACTCTGCAGAGCAGAGATAATGCAATTACAAGTGAGACATCTGAAGAGCTTAATAAAGAAACGTACAGCAGTCCTCACTTCAAAAAAAGACTTTGTATTACTCCTGTAACTTATCTTTTTCTTTGATTGCATGTATTTATTTTCATCTAAAGTACTTGTGAAGCAATAAAATGGAGCAATATAACTATATACCAATAAATATAACAACATATCATGTTTTCACACTGAACTGTCCTGAATCACTTTTTATTGCACAATAAGCGTTTCAAAAAGAATCATCTCCAATCCTTTGCTTTGATAAGTGACAACAGACTTGATTAAACGGTAAAAAACTGATAAAACTGATACATGCTTGAACGCCGACATGCACGATTAATAAGCTCTCTGTGTAACACAGCAGCAGACTCACTTCTCATCCCCGAGCATTTTAACAGACGATAAACAGTGTTTGTGTCACAGCGATGGACTCGCTCCTGTCACTGCTCCTCCTCTCTGTCATTGCTGACATACCTCTGCAGCTCTGCCCTGCTGCTCACTTGTTTCTGGCACAACAAGAGGAATGTCAGGCCTGTTCTCGATATGTGTGTGTGTGTGTGTGTGTGTGTGTGTTTCTTTAAAGCTGCTCTTCCAAACCAACACTCGGGGCAACCCTTTGGCATAAACCATACCATACATACCACATTTTCTCTATAGCTGAAACCCTACACTACTGATACCACCAGCTGCACTGCACTACAGACGGATTACTGAACAGGAATATTGGACACAGGCTCAGGGGCCCAAAGTGTCAGGGCCCCCCCCTGGTCTCCACCTGCAAAATGTCACTCAAAGAGACACGAACCAACCAGGAAGAGACTCAAAAATGACTACAAAGAAACATAAAACTACTACAAAGAGACTCACATGGACTCAGGACAAAAGGTCCAAACAACCACGAAGAGTCGCAAAAATGACGACAAAGAGAGAAACTCGACCACATAGAGACACAAAACAACTGCAAAGAGATGCAAAATACTAAAAACAGACAAAAACAACTACAAAAAGACCCAATATGATGACAAAGAGAAAAACATCTACAAAGGGAAAAGACACTCACAACAACTATGAAAAGAGGGAAAACCACCACAAAGAGACACAAAACGACCACAACCAAAACAAAAAGAGGCTAAACAATTTTACATATATGTGTCTTACTGCTGTGTACTGGAGGTAGTGGGACCGTTTGCATGTCGGTACCCAGGGGCCAATTGTCTGATAATGGGCCCATACACAGTACGCACCTGGTGATGAGGTCTGCTGTTGTGTACTTCAAGTTTCAGGTATAACAGTAAAAGAAGATCCCAAGTCCACAAGAAAACAGGAAGCGGAAGAAGGACTCTGCAGTGATTAGTCCAGACTTACTGTGGTCAAAGCCGTTTACTGGTTTCGATAGGAGGGCGTTCCCCCCGTAGTCAATGGGCGGGAGATCTCGGAGACTCGGGGGAAGCTCTTCTAGGAGACTCGGGGGAAGCTCCTCGGGAGGTGGAGTGATGGAGTAGGACGTCGATTGGTTTGGTGGCGGGCTGAAACCAGATGAATGCATTAAAAGATGTCCAATAATAGTCAACTGTATTTCTGCACTGATAAAGTGTTTACCTGGTCTTCCTGCGGGCCTTCTCCAGAGCATTGAAGATCCTCTGGTCACACAGAGACCTTTTCCCCGGGTTCATGTCCTCCACCCTGGAGAGGGCCACGAGGGCCGAGATGGGACGCTCCGCTTTGAGAGACGGCGGAATGGACGCAGGAGGAGGAGGAGGAGGAGGAAGAAGAGGATGAAGAGGACGAGGAGGCACCTCCACCTCAGCTATGTTCACAGCCTCTACACCGGCTTCTTCGGCTGCAAGCTCATCAAGCTCAGGAGGTGATGGAGAGGGAGTGGAGGCCATCCGAGAGGGAGCAGAGACGGCACAACCTGGTGGAGGGGTCGGGGCAGCACCGGGTGGATGGAGGACGATCTCGTTCTGGCTGGCAGGCCTGGAAACGGGCAGGGAGGGTGTTTCTAACTCAAGTGGGGTCGGAGTTTCAGGAGCCGGGGTGTCCAGTATGAAAGCAGGAGGTAGGGTGAAGTCGACAGGAGGGGGGTATATTTCCACCGCAGCACGAGAGTCGGGTAAGGTGGGGATGTTTGGAAGAAGGAACTTTGGTGCAGCATATTCTGGCTCTGCTGATGCGTTGCCAAAGCCACAAGGTGCTGGAATTAGAGGAGCCGGTCCAGGACCGTCTGAGCTCGGGGTGTCCAGGATGGGCTCTGCTGGGACCTCAGCGGAATTTCTCATGGGTGACTTCTTGAGGCCCAGGAAGCCCTTCTTCTTCCTCAACAATATGGCTTGAAGCTCCACGGCGCTGTCCTTAGTCGCTACAGAGAGCAGCGGGAGCTTCTTCTCTTTACCGTTCTTCTGCTTCTGATCCGCCGAACCATCGTCCGGCTTCTTTTTGCTTGCTTTCGTCTTGTCTTTGCCCTTTTTCGGCTTCTCCTCGCTCTTGATCTGGATGAGGGGCTTTTCGCTCTCCTTCTTGTCCTCCTTGAAGATCACTCTGGGCGCGTTCCCCGACCTCCCCTCCACGCTGATGGAGGAGAGCAGGGAGGGGCGCGCCCCTGCAGGGAGGGAGTGAGTGGGGCTCTGGGGAGGAGGGACGACCCTCGGTTTCTCTAGGGCAGCGGGTTTGATCATGTGATGCTTCATGAAGTGTTTCTCCTCCTGGAACTTGGCCACCAGGGCCTTAAAGTCAAACGTGTCCTCCTGGTGAGAGGACAACACAACACACAGTGTTACTGTCAGGAAAATGAACAAATGATCACCCGATAGTGTCGGACAAAACACCTGCTGTAAAAGACATGAAGAATTAAATCATGGACAAGTTTCACAACAAAATGGTGGATTAGTTTTGAAATCATTTGCATATGAATCAGTGTTTCTGCTTCGAGAGAAAGTTGACAGACCTGATTTGAAGTGAATCATGAAAGTCTCAACACACATTTATTTTTTATGTTAAATCCTGAACAATCAGTACATTCTCTACAGACACTATAACTCAGTTTATTGAATATTTAGATGATGTCATTTTCACAGGAAGCAGATTTAACACGAAATAAAACACCGTAATTAAACATAGTTTCGCTATAAAGTAATAACTCACTTTGCGGAAGGATTAAAGTAAATTAAAAAGGACAACAAACCTGTTCCATTGCGTGTTTAATTATCCACCGAAACGACACAAATCTTCTCAGCAGCTTCTCATTATGTCGTCCTTTAACAGATCACTTTCTATCGACCGACTCGAGTCGCTCGAGACAACTTCAGCGTCCCACGCGCACAGGCGACAGCTGCAGGAATGAGGACGAGTAGGAATACTCGTCTCTTATAAAAAAAAACCAGTCTCGTCAAACGGGTCGAGCGTTTAACGAACCGACTCTCAACAGACTTCTTGCTTTTTTTTCATCCCTCAGGAATGCGGCTCGGCTTGTACTAAATGCGAGTCACCGTCAGGAAGCCTCGGATGGAGCCGTTTATTATCTTACAAAATGAATCTCCACTTTTATCAACGTTTAAATAAAGATGTGTGTGCGTGTGTGTGTGTGCGCGTGTGTGCGTGCGTGTTGAGAAGGTGATACGTCCTGAGATGCAGGTGTGTGTGTCTGAATGTTGGAGGAAGAACGTAGAAGGGAAAAAGGAAAACAGAGTGAGGTCAACATTCCAGGTTGGTCACAAAGAATACAAAAGTATTTAAGAAGGTATTTGTAATATGGCATGAATACGTAGTGGCATACAGTCTGCGTCAGAGACGCGAGACCAAACATCAGGCCTCCTGATTATTAAACATAACCCCACTTGGTCTGGTCCAAGAGAATATTGGTAGATGAAACTTGAAGGGTTACCTTTGGTTGTTCCCAGTTTATTTAACCTTTATTTTACAAGTACAAACCCTTTGATGTTTCAAATATCTTCGTTTTTGAGGGAGTCCTGGCCCGAGACGGCAGAATAAAAAGTGTCACATAAAAGCACAAATAACAGACTTAAAAACAAAACAGCAGAAAGTTTAAAACAACGTAATAAAGTCCACATTAAAGAGACAACAGACTTAAAACAGACAGTTGATGCATTAGCAGGGTTCAGTAACCGGATGTGTGTATTCAGTAATCACATCACATCACGCAGCATCATCAAAGACTTCCAGGTTCAAGGTTCTGTCTGCTTCAGTTTTGAGACATTCATCTGGCATCAACATAATACAATGTGGGGGTGAACTTAATCTCTTTTGTGGGACTAACTGTACTGAAAAAAACAAAAAAAAACTACAACTTGTCTTTTCCAAAAATACTGAGCCGATAATCCGGGACGGAAGAAATAGTCCCAGATGTGGATTATTCAGGAACTGGGACAGTGTCTTTGGGAAACACAAGCTGCTGTCAAATGCTTTCAACGCTGTGAAGTTTATAACTGGAACTCTTATCTTTGTTTATTACATATTAATATGGATGTAAATATATATGGCAAATACATATATTTCAAGAGTTATCATGAGTGTTTGTTTGCAGTCTTTGTATAGAAATAAAAAATGACTGACACTCACACAAACATCCATTCACCCTCAACTCGCTACATAAATACTCAACACAAGGAAATGCCTTATTTTGTATCATAATCTTGGATAAAATGCTGACGGTGCATTCGTTTTTTAAGCTTTGCAGATGATGTAACTAACAAAGATAAATGTGTTTGTGAAGTGGAGATGATGAGGAGGAGTTTCTGAAAGAGAGAAGAGGAAGTGGTGAAACTCTGGCACGATTACATTTTTGTCGCTGGAACGAAACTGCTAGAATGCGACTCATAGATGCAATATGCTTCCTGTAAAGTAGGTGATGGCAGCGTGCAACCTCAGAAGCAACGGTTGCAAGAAGATGAAGCAACTGTGAACGGTTGAAGCAGGAAGTACCGTGACATGTCCACAACAAACTGATGCTGAGAAAGGACAAATCGGTGCATACAAATCACCAGAATGCAGGAAATGAAATGTCTGATGCTCAAAGTTTCTTGGAGTGGACTCTCAGATCCCGCTGTTAATAATATGTGTCCCCTGTTGTGACGTCAGCGGTTAAGCTGTTAACCAACGAGAACATTTTTTACAGGTTACGCATGTCGGTCCATAAGTTAATGAAACAAAAGTTAAAACTTAAAGAATTGAGCTGTTTAGACGTGCAGCAGGCAAGAAAACAGGCCCATCAAACTATTAAGAACGCAGCTAAACATAAATACAATGTGGCAATAAACTTCAGCAAAGCCAAAAGCAAATAAAATAAAAGTAATTTACAGCACAAAGCTTTCGTTTTAGTTGTATAAAGCTCATTCAGTCTGCATAAAAGGAAAGCGCCTATTGTTTTGTTATTAATGCTTGTTAGTTAACGGTTAATGTGTCGGGTTATCGAAAGTAAAATAAACTCAAAGTCAAATAAATGTTGAAAAATAATCTACGCTCTCGGCCAGAAAGCTCAGCGGTGAAGTCATTCATGATAATCACGTTAATGAGAAAATGTTTTTGTGTGAACTGACCCTTTAAAACCTCTGCGCCCCACACACACACACACACACACACACACACACACACACACACACACAC